GGGGTTGTTTGACTGCGGAGGAAGATTTTACCATGTGACTTACTTATCTGATTCATCAGATCAGCTTGCCGTAACAACTGCTACCTCTACTTCTAATTCTGGTAAATTATGTAGTAGTAGCTAATAGTAATAACAATAACAAGATTTCATAGTAAATTTACTATAGAAAGATTAACTTAATAAGCAGGGATTCAGTACCAGAAATTTGTTTACAATAAGGCAAATTTTACTGTATCAAGAGTTTACTATAACAAGTTTCACTGATACTTTCAATAATGAACACCTCTTTCATTAATAATTTTGTTTATATACTGTATACTAGCTTAATGGAGCAGTCAAATTACTAAATTATTTGATAAAGAAAATATTAATATCACATAGAAAATTTGGTTTTTGCTCAAGACAATCAATTTACCAGACAATCGCATTATAGAGTCGAATTATCAGCAATTGGCTATATTAGTATATACAGTATTCAATGATAATAAAAGTACCATTAAACACCATCCAAACACATTAAACATTTTGACATGCTCTTTAACAATAGAATTTAGATGATTAAAATTTTATTTGCACAAAAGAAAAGAAGGACAAAAAATTTTCCTCTAATTCCGAAATTTCTCGTAAGCACGAAAATCAACCAGCAAAAATTTCCTTTGTTGTAAGTTTATTTGTCTTGTTTGGTCTAATAAGTGGTGTGATGGTAGTAACCGCAAAAAAAGTAACTAATTGGTAATTGCCATTGTAGAATAAAAGGGGTGCTTTTTTGTTCATACAAGCATTTTTGACACGATTTTTTGTACTGTACATACTTGAATGTGTTGTGTTTGAGTTTGGGACCTGTCTCAGTTCAGAACCCAACACTCAGTCCAGAACTCAGTTGTCTCACAACAGATGTAAAATTAATGGTGGAGTGTGCCTTCAAACTTTTATAATGCCGAAATACGTTTAAAAACAATATTAGCACATATTTGTATACTAACATTTGCGATCAGACAATAATCTAAAGAACACATTTTGTGTGCTGAGTGTCGGACTAGCTTACACCTGAGGAGCAGTGGTGCACTAGCCGTTTTGGGGTTTAGTTCGTTTCCAACGGAAGCTTTTGCTCTTCTTACTTTAAACTAAATATCGTACAATTAATGACCTTTTAAATAGGATTTAATACTCAGATGTATATTATCGCTTTTGTATACGCTGTCCTTGGATTATTGTTTAAACTCGAGTATCTCAGCGATTTCCGTGATGGGATTAAATTCACGGCCTATTGAAACGGGGAATTTATCTTATCTAAAACTACTAGTAATAATTAAACAGTAATCCTAAATGCAAAAGTACTAAATAGAGTTAATTGGCAAGGATTAATTCTATTCACCGCTGACGGGGAAAGCGTTTTTAACATTTCGCCAAAGGATGTAAGTATCTTTTATCAGGGAATAAACGAATTAAGTATATTTGAATCGGATTTTTATTAGAATAAAAAGAACTATTCTATTTAGCAACGTCTTGCTGAAGATATGATTCAAATGATCGGAACCATGATTTTTAGCTACTATCTACGACTCGTGTTTATAACTAATTATCGTTTCACTAAACTGTCCAAATTTTCGGATAATTTGTGTCTGTCCAAACTTTTGGATATATCTGGACAATCTAATTTTAGGTCCAAACTTTTGGTATATCCGGATAGTCTGTGTTTGTGGCCTAATCTGGCAACATCTGTACCATGTTCGCGCAATTACCGATGCGCTGTGTTACTATTACTTGGATTTCGTGTGCTGCGGAATCAGAGATTTGAGCGGAAATCACGGAGGAATACGTCGTACTTAGGCCTCGATCCTGACATAGGAATGCATAGCTGAAAATTGATCACTTAACCCAGCAGTCTGGATATTAACAAGTGGCTCATGAAGAAAAAGAGATGCGAGTAAATATTAACGATAAAATTTTATATTAAAAGTTCTTAACACGCTGTACGTATACGAATAGTCTTCAAATTTTTAATAGCCCAACTCTTATATAGCGTCGATTAAGGACTTATTCCAACGATAGTTGTTTGACACAAATGCTAAGGAACGAACGAGTGATCGACTCAAGTGCCAAGAGTGAGCGACGGGGAAAATGACATTAAATTGAGGATATTACCCTCAGTAAATTAAGTAATTATCTTGACCCGACGCTTTATTGTTATTAGATTTATTGTTATATATTCAGTTATTGAATCAAGTGGCGCGTGAAAATTGAATTATTACGGCACTTATTGTTATTCCAGAAATGTTATAATAACTTATTTCATATGTACAAAAACTTTTTCATACGTCGTATTCACTATTAATGAAAAATAATCAATACGGACACACTTTGTCTACTTTGGAGAATACGCAATTGATGTAGAGCCGATCGTGCTTGCGGTTTGTCTACAATTGGCAAACCTCTTTGGTAATCGTCGATGAAACCCGGTTTATTTATCAAAGTCTTATGCTATCATCCGTCGGCTCCTCTATACCAATTTAGTCTTCTCTTCAAGTTACACTACACTGTATACAGACGGTTTCCTTTTCCTGCTGAGCCGATTGATTTCGATCGTAGGTGAAAATACTCGGGTATTAAAACAATACGCTATCTATTAGCGTTCGGGATTATTCCTCATAACCAAATTTAGATTTGTCATTCACGCGCGGGATGACAGGCAGGGAATGTTGGCTTCCCAAACTTGGATTGACGCTGTCGATCCATCAAAATTTTTAGATGGGATACGTGTAATAGTTGCGTTAAGTTTGAACCCTTTCATCACTATCGATAGAACATAATCGTAATATAATAATAAAAATGAGCAGCCAAGCAAACATCACCGAAGTACATTCAATCTATGACACTATATTAATTCTTGACTTTGGATCACAATATTCGCACTTGATAACACGGCGCGTTCGCGAGTTTGGTGTTTATTGTGAAATGTTACCATGTACTCAAAGGATCAAGGAACTGCATTTTCGGCCGAAAGGTATTCTACATTACTATTTAAACGACATCTTACTTTACTTTGAAGATTGATTGTTTCTCCTTGTGATAATTTCCCCAAAGGCATTATTCTATCAGGAAGTCCATATTCGGTATATGACGAGGATGCCCCCAGAGTAGATCCCGATGTATTCACGCTAGGGGTGCCCGTCTTGGGCATATGCTATGGCCTTCAAGTACATATTCATACTTTTTTTCCAGTTTACGCTCTTGTAACAACTCCCACATTTACTAGTCTTTATCAGGAAATAACCTGGAACCATGGTGGATCAGTTGTGGCCTGTAGTCATCGAGAGTATGGACATGCGATGCTAAGTGTAATAAAGCATGCCGACCATCCCGTTGTTGATAGACTATTCGATGGATTTGATGGTGATATAGAGGTACGCATTATAAGGGAGATCGTACAGATTATGCTGCAATAAGCTATGTGAACGAGTAGTGCGAAAACGAATGCCTTGACTTGCTAGATTAACTACCCCCCCTTTTTTTTGGTAAAGTTTTGGTTCGCGTCTCGTTTATTCACCTAATCTTTTATTCACTACTTTCTTCTACAGGTTTGGATGTCCCACGGTGACCAACTTTCCAAATTACCAACAAATTTTCGTATAATAGGCCGCACACAGACTGCTCCGTATGCAGCAATCGCACATGAAGAGAAGCTGTTGTTTGGTATTCAATTTCATCCGGAAGTCACACATACCCCGAGGGGAAAGGAGATAATTGGAAATTTTGTAAAGACTATATGTGAATGTAAAACTGATTGGACAATGGCATGTTATAAGTTGGGCGTGGGAGACCCATTTATTGTAGAATCATACCGAAAGAAGAAAGTGCGTACAATATGATTTGACTTTCTTTCCCTCTTTTTACAGGAATCGTTTATTGACAAGGAAATCGAACGTATTAGACAGATTGTCGGAAAAGATGGAGAGGTTGTCGGTGCTGTTAGTGGTGGAGTAGACAGCACAGTTGCTGCCAAATTAATGAAGGAAGCAATTGGAGATCGGTGAGATATATGGAAGCTTGGTTTGAATTTACACTGTTTACTTCATTTTGAATAAGTAATATCTTGTGTTGATTACTTATTCCTTGTAGAACCCCCTACAAACACTGCACATATACTTAATACTTATTATTTATTTATTTTACCTATTTATTATTATCTCAAATCATGTATACTTTGAAAAGTTTTCACGCAATTTTGGTGGACAACGGCGTCATGCGTCTCAACGAATGCACAACCGTCAATTCCTATCTCCATTCTCATCTGAAAATCAACCTCCGCGTAGTCGACGCATCAGACAAATTTTTGTCGCGTCTCAAAGGTGTCACTGACCCCGAAAAAAAGAGAAAGATAATCGGAAACACGTTTATTGAGGTGTTTGAAGAGGAAGCGGCAAGGATCGATAAGGAGACGAGAAAAAGTGGGAGAAAGAGCATCGAATATTTGTTACAGGGCACTTTGTATCCTGACGTTATTGAAAGTGTCAGTTTTAAAGGTCCGAGTGCGGTTATTAAGACACATCACGTAAGTGCACGTTTACGTGAAAATGTGAGGATGTTGTGACATAATGTATGCACCGTTATAACACAGAACTGGTTTTGTCATATAATTCTTGTGGTTGTAGAACGTGGGTGGATTGCTGCAAGACATGAAGTTAAAGCTTATCGAGCCACTTCGCGAGCTGTTCAAAGGTACTTGTGAAATAATGCGTTTGGTTGTCCATTTTCTGCTTTCGTTTCTAGCATACGATCGCCTGGCTGCATCTGACTCGATAACTTTTTCCTCTGTGTGTCATTCCCTCGTCTCCTCTCATCTCCCATCTGCAAAAAGACGAAGTTCGCAGACTAGGCAAAGTTCTCTCTCTTCCAGATGACTTGATCTATCGCCACCCGTTTCCCGGACCTGGAATAGCCATCCGCATCCTCGGGGAAGTGACTCCCGAGCAAGTCGCTATAGCTCGGGCAGCAGATCACATTTACATCGAAGAGATTAAGAAAGCGGGTCTGTACAGAGAAATAGCACAAGCATACGCGGCATTGTTGCCAGTGAAGGCCGTAGGCGTGATGGGCGATAAGAGGACGTACGAGCAAGTTATTGCATTAAGGGCGGTCGAGACTACTGATTTTATGACTGCTGATTGGTATGGATGACGTTGGGGACGAATGGGAAATGGATGTGAGGCAGTGAAAATAGCAGGGTGGGAGAACGAGGATATTTGTACAGTGTTTATTGGCTAAAAGCGTATGTCTGTACGTTGCTTATAGGTACGATTTTCCACATACGATATTGAAAAAAATCAGTAGCAGGATTATCAATGAAGTCAAAGGTTAGTAATCTCTGTAGGAGTGCGTTGTGGGTTTGTCCATGTTACACATTTTTTAGAGTCTCATCATTTTCGTCTTGACTATTAGGAGTTAATCGTGTAGTGTACGATATTTCGAGCAAGCCTCCGGCTACAATTGAATGGTATTTGTTCTGATCCTTTTTTTGATTTCAAGAGTCTTTGAAAAGTGAATAACGTCCTGAACGATATTCTTCCAGGGAATAATATAACATAATGATATAGACCTCATAGACGAACCACGAAGCTGTCCGACATTAATCATCGATGATACAAGAAATTTGAATACTCGGTTAATCAAAGTCTACATAAAAAGAAAACTCGATTATCGAACCCAATAATTACATGCAGGCAAAAATGGGTTCAGTATCACTGCACCGTTACAGTTGCTTCAAAGTCTTACGTATCGATTGCGCGAATTGTGAAAGAGAGATCGAAATTTTCAGAGCACAGGACATACGTAAATGATATAGCAATTGATAACCATTTTGATTTCTCCGCGACGCTTGCCAGATACTATGAAGGATAGCAGATATTAGTTATGTTAGCATGAACTAATTGACCATGACTCATAACACTTGAAACTCGTTAGAATATGGAATCTACTTTCTGTCTTGATCCATAGATCTCTTAAGTCAATTATTGAAGCTACATCAACGGAACGCAGCCTATATATTCAGGGTTCATGTGAATAGATGCCAAAGTAGCCATAATATGTGCATCATTAAGAATCTATTAATTCACATTGCAGATGACATTTATTATAATAATCAATTTTTCGAGTTCTCTAACGTCCGCGTCGCGTAAGTAAATACCATCGAGTGCGATTTTATAGCCCGACCTACGCTAACTTATTACAGAGTAGACGCGAAAATAGGTCAAGTTAATCTCAAATATATGGCCGAGTATAGTCTTCCACCTTGCGTGAAGAGACGTACACCCCCCTGCCAAATATATGTACAATACAGGATTTTGCTTCCATTCGAAATCTCTAATACAGTATAAGTATGTGCTTTATTGCAAAATCTTGTGTTGTACTTGCCCACTTTACTGCTCTTCCGAATGACGATACCTGGCCAACAAGTTATGTTAACCGCTTCTGAGAGCAAGCTTTTGCCCTTTAATATAATTCACTAGAGACTCGAGAACATAGGTAAACAAAATATGTAAAGAAAATCGAAACTCGCCAATTCTCTTAAATTCATGGTTTTATAAGTTGATGTCACCCATCAGATATAGATGACTTTTTTGGTTAAAAAGCCACAACCGACGAACTATGTAGAAAATAAACATGTCATGTAATCCCACGATAATAATATAAAGAGCTGTATAGTGAGTAACGAAGTCGAAGAATTTAGAAAAATCTGAAAGCATAAATTAAAATGGCAAAGGAAAAGTATTAAAAAAACAAGATCAAAGTTGTCGGAATACAAATTGTTACATAGTTGACACTGTTTATACCGAACTGCCCGGCTGAAGAGTTTTCATTCGTTATAATCCGAGTATTATAAAAAATCGGTTCTGATAATTTTTGTTCGTTATATCCAGAGTTCGGTAGGTTCGGTACAAACAGTGTCAACTGTAATAATAAAAAAAGACTTGAGTAATCTACTGTATGCATTCAAAATTATCCTGATGCTTAACCACTCGTTTCGTGCTCGAATGGGTTATGATATTTGACTTTCCATAAACGACCGTCTTCCGATTCTTTAACCCTTTCGAATAATCACGACGTCTGTGTGACAATAGTGCGTAATGTAATGAAAGAACAGTACGAACGAACGATATCTTAAATTCGCCAAAAATGGATGAGACTTGCTAGACAAAATAATTGAAGATGGGATGGTCAAGTGCTACCCAGAAAGTGAAATCTTAAACCGTAAGGCTGTCGGCCGTGGTGGGTTCGGAATTGTGTACAAGGCAAAGTTGAAACATGCTGGCGTAACTGTTGCAATGAAGATGTTAGCACTGGACTCATTTACGGACGAGCAAGAACTGTACGGGATGGTTGTCAAAGAGATTTGTGGTATTATTGTTGTTGCTCGTTACGCTAAACTTGTCTCCAGAAACTATATTGGTTTTGCGTATGTTATATGCTAGTTGAAAACTCATAAGAAAGTAGGTGACCATCCAAACATTATATGATTCTTAGGTTTATGCAAAGGTCAGTTACATTGGATTTAGTCTTGTACGTTTCAAGAATCATGACTTATTTTATCTTAAACGGATGCAGACCAACACTATTACATGATTTTTGAATTTGCGGAGGATGGAAGTTTGTGCACATACTTAGCAAGTCATTTCAATGACTTTACATGGAAAGAGAAATACAACTTAGGTCTGGATATTGCAAATGGTTTGAGATACTTGCATGCACTTGGTATTGTTCACAGGAATTTGGTATGTTAATATTACAATCTGTTTATATATGTATTGATATTGAATTTATAGTAATATTATAATTAATGATAATACTTATTCTACATGCATATATAGTCTTCCACAAATGTTCTTATTCAAGGAGGCATTGCAAAAATAACTGATTTTCTATTCTTAGACACACTAAAACAAATTCCTCCAACTGTAATGAATGGCAATGAGGCATATATTGATCCTGTTGCTTTTGAAAATAATTCATTACCATATAGACAAGGGGAAAAGTCAGACATTTTTAGTCTTGGAGTAGTATTTCTACTGGAAAAAAGCCATGTGAAGGTTACACCCAAAATTTTGAGATTATTTTATATAGGCTGCAAGGCCTGAGAGACCCTCCTTCTGCAGAAACACCAGAAAAGTACATTAAACTATATTCAAAATGCTGGGATGGTGATCCAAACAAAAGACCATCAAGTGAAAAAGTATATAAACAATTAAAGTGTTTGTATGATGGGCAAAGATAAAAGACTGGAGCTGTGTGGGTGTAATATTGGAGATACAAAAATAGCTACTTTAGCAAAGGCTTTGGAATCAATCTCCATAACCCAACTAAACCAAGCATTAAAAGAAATTGGGTATGCACATTTAGCAAATACTCTGGAATCAAATTCTTTGACTTCTTTGTATCTAACTGACAATAAGATTGGAGACATAGGAGCAGTAGCTTTGGCAAAAGCTCTAGAATCAAATTCTTTTCTGACTTCTTTGGATTTGGGTCAAAATCAGATTGGAGACACAGGAGCAGTAGCTTTGGCAAAGGTTCTAGGATCAAATTCTTCTCTGACTTCTTTGGATTTACATAGAAATCAGATTGGAGACACAGGAGCAGCAGCTTGGCAGTGGTTCTCAGAACAAATACTCATTTGTCATCTTTGGTTTTATCTGCTAACAACATTGGAGACACTGGAGCAGCAGCCTTGGCAAAGGCTCTTGAAGTTAATGCTTCTCTGACTTTGGAATCAAATTGGAATCAAATTGGAGACATAGGAGCAACAGCTTTGGCAAAAGCTTTAAAATTAAAATTTTCTCCAACTTCTTTGAATTTGAGTAGCAATAAAATTGGAGACACAGGAGCAGCAGCTTTGGCAAAGGCTCTAGAATCAAATTCTTCCCTAACTTCTTTGAATTTACATAGTAATCAAATAGGAGATACAGGAACAGTAGCTTTGGCAGAATCTTTAGCATCAAATTCTTTACTGAATTCTTTAGATTTATTTTTAAATGAAAATCAGATTGGAGAAGCAGGAGTAACAGCTTTGGCAGAGGCTCTAGTATCAAATTCTTCTCTGAGTTTTTTAAATTTATTTTTAAGTTTTAATCAGATTAGAGATACAGGGGCAGTAGCTTTGGCACCAGTTTTACAATTAAATTGTCCTTTGACTTCTTTGGCTATTTCTGGTAATAATATTGGAGATACAGGAGCAGTAGCTTTGGCAGGGGCTCTCAGAATTAGTGCTCATTTGTCATCTTTGGCTCTATCTGCTAACAACATTGGAGAAACAGGAGCAGCAGGTTTGGCAAAGGCTCTAGAAGTTAATACTTCTCTGACTTTTCTGGCTTTGCATAGTATAAGTAATAATATTGGAGATACAGGAGCAGCAGCTTTGGCAAAGAGTCTAGAATCGAATTCTTTTCTAACTTCTTTGAATTTACAAAGACTCTAGAAGCAAATACTTCTCTGACTTTTTTGGCTTTATCTGGTAATAATATCAAAAATATAGGAGCAGCAGCTTTGGCAAAAACTCTAGAGTCAAATTCTTTTTTGATTTCTTTGACTTTATCTGATAATATTATTGGAAATATTGGAGCAATAACTTTGGCAAAGGCTATAAAATTAAATTCTTCTCTGACTTCTTTGGATTTAAGTTATAATCAGATTGGAGAAAAAGGAGTAACAGCTTTGACAAAGACTTTAGAATTAAATTCTTCTCTGACTTCTTTATATCTTGATTGTAATGAAATTGGGAATCAAGATCCCAGTATTAGTATTGGTAAAAATTCAAGGATTAAAATTTCATAATTTTTATTTCCATTTGAATTGGATATCAGGATTGGCTCAGACATTTAAGCCTTTACATCTAAAGATAACAAGTTTACATATTAATATTAATATGTATTGATAAGTATTAGTATTAGTGTAAGTCAAACACAAAAATTATCCAGCGTTAAATTTAGTCTTACTGATTTACAGTGTGTCAAAAAAGAACAGAATAAAACTATAAACATAAAGTTTTATTACTATTACCATGTCGAAATGAGTGAACCAAATTACATGATTTGTAGCTTATTATTATTGAAATGCTCAGATTTTTATTAGTAATAATTAATAAGAATCCTCTCTTCAGCTATTCTTGGCAACAAGCTCATAACGACGTTTCATTGAGCCTACGAATTTATTACACAGTCAACCTCGTTAATCCGAAGTCCATGGGACCAAGTTTAACTTCTGACTAACGAGGTATTTGGATTAACAATCTGCTTTAGAAAGAGAATTAATTATTCGGTTTACACACACCGTTCAATCTTCCCAGCGATGCTTCTGTCTTTTACAGAAAGTTATCTGATGAGATTTTTAATCTTCGAATTAACAAGAAAATCTTCGGATTAAAGGCAAATCTTTGGATGAAAGGGGTGATGTTTAAATGCCATTCCTCACAACTAGATTCGGTTTTGGGCATTTGTTTCTCTACAATAATCCCACAAATTTTCAATAGATTTAAGTCAAAATAGTCTTATATAAAGTAGTCGTGTCCGTTCACAAGTTTCATTCTAGGCAATTGTCATCTGATAACGACAGACACTAGCGACTGTTTAACTTATTACAAAAAAAAATTTTTTTCATTGTCTACGAGGTGCGATACTGCAAAGTTCTTGATGTATGATCTGTTAGCATTCGCAAGCTTGCTCGCAGACAATCGTAAGGGTATCTATGTTAATTTACTAATTAACTCTTGATCGAACAACAAGTATTGAGGTTTACACTAACTATTAACGACTTGTTCAAGATCTTATATTTACATCTGAATATACAGTAGGTCTATGCAATACGTACGTAACAAAGAGTTGATCGCATGTTCACAATGGAACCAATAATCTGCCCAGTTTCAACGAGTTCCGGGTCGGTGTAGTGATCTCCCTCCCATAGAGTCATAGTCATCCGTTTCAATTAACATAAATTACTCCATCAGCTATTATCCTTCACTACTGTATTAGCCTTGACAAATAGGACAAGCATCAAAATTATTATCAATTGCTCTACTGTAGAAGTAATCGATATACATATGACTGAGGGTACCGTTTGCTAGAAGCGAGCGTGCAGTAAGTCAATAAATTAATCTACAACCATAAAAATGTTAGTTCAAATAACCGAACGAACAAAAAATTCTTTATGTAGATTGCAGGAAACTTCTTACCAGTTTATCCTATCTTTCACTTTTCTTACGTAAAATTGGTAATTTCGACAGTCCCGTGAATGCAATAACCTACAGTATCGTCCATCACTAATAGACTTCACTGACAATATCGCGCATGCTTGTGCGATTTCTCTGTACAGTCTGCTTTCTCAATCTCCTTGACGTAGACATCGTCTGCTGTCTGTCTGGACTTAGCGACTCGCTCGGGAGCCGCGAAGTGGCTCGATAAGTTTAACCTCATATCCGTGTCATGCTTTTCAGCAACCCACCCGGTGCTACAAACGAACGCAATACAATTAATACGGTAAAACCATTTCCCATGTTTATTTTATCCACTCTCATTCAATCTGTCCACTCACGCGATGCATTTAATAAACTTTTTCAATAATGTTGGGATACAAAGTCGCAATATTATTCGATGTTTTCTTCCTAGTTTTTCTCGTCTACTCGATCCTTTGCCGCTTCCTCTTAATAACTGCGTTGCGGGTTATCTTTCTCTTTCAAAGTCAGCGATACCTTGGAGACGCAACAAAAGTTTGCCTGATGAGTCAGGATGGAAGCGGAATGTAGGAATGGAAAGATTGAGACCCATAACGCCATTATCCCCGCAATCTTTTTTTTTCTTCAAGGAAATGGAGTGAGTACGTCTGAAGGAGGTAATGAGTAAGAGGTAAAATGAATAAACGTAAGTTAATAAAAAGTGCGCAGTGTTCATTAGGGCATCTGCATGAGATAAATTATCAACACACAATATTATTAATTTTCTATACCTCGTAGACTCCAATTGTGACTTGACAGCGATTGTGCTGTCTGTCTACTTCATTGCTAATGGCCTTGACTACCTCTCCGTCTTTTCCGATGGTCTGTCTAATGGGTTCGATTTCCTTGTCGATAAAGGGATCAAAAAACCATATAATATGCAGCTCGCCCGCCTTCGGTAGATATTCTATAGTAATTCGGACCACTTGTCGCCCAATCAATTTATAACCTCTGCAAATGTTTCAGCTATTTCGTCCGGATGGAATAGAATGTCGAACAACTATCTCTTGGATTGCCGCATACGGGACAGTTTGTGGGCGCCTGCCATAATATAAATCTAATTTGAAGATGTAGACCCTAAACATGTTCCAAATCTGATGCTGAGAAATGACGGATGAAATGAGATACGCGAAAAATGACTTTGTAGTAATATACATTATTCATAATGCGTCAACGTAGTAAATCAAAACACTCGCTTGTGAACTAACTCATTCATCAACAATCTGTACAAATCGTGTATGTCACTCAAGCCGTTCCATAATGCATCACCTCTATATCACCATCGAATCCCACTTAGCATCGGCCTACAGGTCACTATTGTCTTCAACAGATTGTTTCCAGATAAAGATCAGAAGTACGGTTTGGAGTAAAATGAGCCCACAACATCTCCAAGACGGGCGGACATCCTCGTCATATACTGAATGTGGGACTGCCTGATAAAACAACGCCCCTGTCGATACTATCCTTTCAATCTTCAAAGTAGATTCATGGAATCGTCTAATAAGCAGAATACTTTCGGTTGAAAATACGGGTCGCATTTCACCAGTTTTCCCCGCTCGTGGGAATTCACCATTTGATGGATCAGCCATGTCAATCCAAATTTGGGAGTCAACATTTCCGCTTGACAAATTTGATTAGTCGCCTTTCGAAAATCAAAAGGTTGCCAGGAAGAGAAATCATTCTATAATTATAACGTAGCCTGAAGAGAGTTCGTTGACGAGCAAGGTATTGACAAAATCTTGTTAATGGAACGACATTCGAGCTTTTGTAATGGGCGATTAGCAGGTGACGCTAATGCGCTGTCTAATCAATTAATGACGACAAGACGTTAATGGTTATTCTGTATGCCAGATAAATTGCTTCATTACAAATATTGTATATACTGTATAGTAATTGCGTATTGTATATTAATATGTCCGCTATTTCAGCAAACGACTAGCATATTAATATTCGAATCGTATTTGCTAAGCATAGTGAGCAACAACTACAAAGTCTGGATTCTATCGAAAGCTGAAAATAATAATATTATTATTAAGATGGCACTTTTTACATTTATAAATCGAATTTTTGTTTGAGCGTATAATATATGAACTTCTCGATAAATACGTTCACAAAATATCTTTGGTAAAGTAACTGCGCCTTTGTGCCGAATGACAGTACTTGATCTAAGACGTTTAGTGCAATAACTTCTGTCCGTCCAAGCAAGTCAATTTCGTGTGAAACTTGCTTAAGACCTTTTGGAATGAAAAAACGACAAGAAGATGCAGAAATGTGGTAACTCTTAAGAATACATGTAGATCTTACTTCACAGTTTAGTATTAGCGGAGGAAAAGTATTAAGACATAAATAAGTTTACGAAATAACATGCTATGTCATCAAGCTTGCACTACAGTGTCGAATTGGAACAACATGCAGCGAGAATATTCCAGCATGTTTGTGTTCAGCACGCTACTTCAACTCATGTTAATTGTAGCACTTGAAACCAATGAAAGAGACATGTTTATTCTTAGGCGTATACGCAAGCAGTTAACGGATAGAGATATGCAGACAAAAATAACAAGGTGGACAAGAGCACGTATTGTAGTCCACAGCAGGGATAAAAATAGGGCGTCGCTGCTTTACATTTCACATCAAATGCGGATGAATAATATACCTAAAGCCTCTAAAAGAATGTTCCATACAATAGCAATAAAATTTACACTTTGTAGTATACAATTTTAGTGAGAGACAAATGGCTATCAAGCTTTCTATGGCTGAATTGCTAGGGATGTGAATGGATTTTGGCAACGAATAGAGAAAGTGGAGACTCTTACGTTAAGCTCTAGCAGTCGAAGCCAAAAGAAAGTTAATGTTTATTATTATTAGCTGATTGTGATCCAAACAAACTACCGCCAAGAATGAAGTAAAATTCAAGGCAAAATTTCTTTTCAAGCTGAATTACACTCTCCGCCACTTGGAGCGAGTGATATTAATAGACTTGCAGTAATATTGTCTATGAAACAAAAGAACAATACATATTCAGGAGGTAACTATGCAATAATCTGAGATGGGATTTACCCGACTGTATTCTAAATTTAGAGGATGGCTAAAGCGGAGTAGAACGTGACCTGATTCTTGCAATTACATTGGTCAAATTTGTATATCAACCAAAAAAACTACTCCGCTTTAGCCTACCCCTAATTTAGGAGTTAATATTAAACCTCGTGCTCTTGGCAAACTATTTATCTGCAAGTTGCATCTGGTTGCATGGCCCAAACCAAATTCGGATATTTAAATTGGTCGTACACGGTCATCAGAAACCCAAAGTCATTGGAAGCGGGGAAACTATTTCTATATCTTTTCCGTTCCGGGATTATTTAGAAAATAGCCGTACAGTATTAGCTTTTCTGTAGTTGAGGCAATGTTAACATTGGTTCTCCTTCAATGGTGTAGTTTTTAAAAATAGAACCGTAATGATGTGTGGTGTGTGGTAGTTAAAGTCTACGATCACCTGTTAGCCAGCCAGTAACAAAAAAAAATTGCATAATCTAAAAGATCTGATACCTTTTCTAGCGTTTTAAGCGATGCGACCTGACGCACACTCTCTGTCTATTTCCATTGGTTCAGCTTTGGGTGGTCATTGTACTATACGATTAACGTATAATTGCAGGGCGATAGTAATAATACGTTTTAATATTAGATGAAGCCACTGAATACATTACTGCAATAAAGTGTTGATATATTTCTAATGTTAATTGGTTCAATTGCCTTTAGTTTGATAATGTAATCTTGGTTGGTTAAATCTTGTCCTGTTGCCACATCGCAGTTAATTGATAACTTTGTAAACAACCCAATAGCCAGGGAAATATAAGGTTTGAGGAACAGCCCTTGCATATCGCCCTGACTGAATTACTTAAGTTTCATCGACCATTCGAATAACTTAAACAGTAATTAGTATTAGAATCATCACTAACTTTATTTTATTGGATACGGGAAAACTTCCGCTACCATCAGGGTTCCCTTCTACTAATAAAATTAATTCAATGATTCGAATGTCCCTTGTTGCATGTTACTTATTCTATAATTTACCGTCTATGTGCATTATCTACCCGATCGCTATATAGTCTATGCGTTGTACAACATTAACATTATCCAGCCAACGTTAAATATAGACTCCTGATCATTAGAAATTACGAATGTTCTATATGTAAACCTTGCGCTGTAACATATAATATATACAAAATAAAAAGCAGAATGGAAGACGAAGAGGAAAAAAAGAAACAAAAGGCTATTATAATAATAACTTAGTCACATCAATCGCATTTAAGACTTTGTTGATTTTAATGGATCGTGTAAGCAAGCACTACATCTGTACAACTTTCTTTATAACCCCCAATTATTTGCACTGCCACATGCTGTGTTCTGATAATCTCGATATTGTATTCACGAGATGAAAATCAGCCCTGCATTGCTGTGTTCTGGTAATCTCAATATTGTTTTCACGAGGTGAAAATTTCGAACGTTTGGAAATCATTTATGTTAAACCCTGAATCAGTTCGAATGTAACAAACTATTCGCAAATCAAAATACTTTATCAATTTTGATAAACTTGTCTTTTTGTGCAAAAGAACTAATCGGCGTTTGGATAGTGATTGTAAAATTGTATAAGTATGCAGAATTGCACGTCTTTTTTTTTTTTTATCTCCTTCCCCCTGCATTGTGCTAGATAGTGTCGGGTAGCTTTCAAATAGTAAAACAATGTTATTATTTTTATGACAGACACATTTCTCTAAAAATAGCAAAATTAGTAATACTAATAATAGATCGTTCTTTGTTTTTTGACTAAACAACCTCTTACATTGATCTATGCAAATCGAAGCAACGCAACAAACCCTTTCATATAACTAAAATTCGTGCAACGAAAAAACGTATTTAAACGCGGCCTTTTTTACTTCCCCAACTTTCAACGAGCAGACTCATTAGCTTGTCAAATCAATAACTTGGTCTACCAAATCTCATCCACATCAACACGATTAATCCTAAACGAAAAATGAATCCTCTCCGCAGCAAGTTTTTGGGACTTTTTGTCATTCTCGTTGTGATGCTCGCTACGTTGGCGAACTCCAGCCCAATTCCAGAACTCGATAAAAGAGCTCCCGCTATACACGTTCCATCCCCGGGTCCGGGTAAGCGTGCCATTGGCTCTACACAGAATGCCAGTTGGTGGAGCAATGATTTTAAATCAACCGGTAAGGATGTAACTTTTGATAGTTTTTTTTTTTTTTTTTTAGAATAAAAAATTTTTTTCGAATAATAATTTAAAAATGTAAACCCTTTTTCTTTTAGATTTTGTTACAGTCAATATAAGAGACCTCACCCACGGTAAAATCGCGAAGTCGTTTCCTGTAAGTTGAATTTTTTGTTAATCAGATGATTTACAAACTTGGGAAATTTGTCTAAAGTATGTACTGCATATTATTATTCTCTAGAATACCCCCAACGCTAATTCTGGCTCGTTAGACTTTCCCGTCGACCCAGCGTGGGCTAAAGTAGGGGTTACGTACGTTGTTGAAGTATTGGTCGTAAAGGCTCCATCCGTCAAAGGAACCAGTAGTACATTCACGGTATTCAAGACCCTGGGATAAAAAGAGTCATGAATTTGATTTACTGGTTTAATAGAAGTACTAGTACCTCGTGCACTGTCTTCCAACTATGTATTACGACTTTTTGTGGTATTAATATATAATGTTATAATCAATAAAAAATGAGAAACGTTAAATGTGAACAGAAAGGTTCAGAATTCAAATTGTCAAATGTCATGGACTTGTCTTATAATTTTTAGTCAACTAATCGAGTTACTAGTGACCTACTTTTACTTTCTAATCAATGAAAAAAGTAAATTATCATCTTAAGAATAAATAACACTAGCAATACTTTCGTGATGATCGAAACACGGTATCTTGTTTTATTTACACCAAACCAACTGTTTGTTTAGCCTCATTGCCCATAAGAGCATCTTCACTCGAACCAAGAATCTTTGTTATAGCATCACGATTGTGTTTTTTTTTTCGGCGGCTTTTTGTCATGAATAATTACATACTATATAGAAATAAACAATCTGGAAAATATATAATACGGTTGCGAATATAATAGATAAACTACACCTACCTATTACTGGACTCAATAACAACAATCTAAGATAACTGCCATAAAAACTGCTCTTCTGAAATGACTCTCCACCGATACCTACAAACAAGCTGTTAACCGCTTACAAATAGCCAAAGTATCAAATCTTGCTTCTACGAGAGCAGCTTTTGCCCTTTAATATAATTCACTAGAGACTCGAGGAGGATATTGACTAACATTCGCACCATAATAACAACATTTATGACGTCTGAAAGAAAATAGGAAATAATTTACATGAATTTGTGTTAAAGAGATTACTAAAAAGAAAATATCGAGAATCTCAAAACCTGTCAATTCTCTTATCAAGTTTATTCCCATGTTAAACCCCTTTTAGTCAACCTTATTTCAATTCATAGTCTTCTTTTAATCAAAACAGTTTGTTACTAGAATCATCAATCCATGTAATTTTATAGATATTGATGATGAAATTTTATTGTCCTGGTTAAAAAGCCACACCGACGAGCAATATAGAAATAAACATGTCACGTAATCCCATAAATAGCTGTATAGGGAGCGAAGAGGTCGAAGTTTCTTGTCAAGTAGTAAGTCGACTGCATGGAAATTTGAAAGCGATAAATGGCAAAGGAAAAGCGGAGACTATTAGCGGAATGGAAAGAACAAGATCAAAGTTAACGTACAAATTGATATATATATGTCGTATGTAAATCCCGTCACTACGTAAATCCCGTTTGGGGTCCTAAAAACCGTATTTATATTATGTAAATCGGGATTTACATAGTGACGGGATTTACATACGACATATACATTAAAAAAACTGTATGCTTAACCACTCTCGTGCTCAAATGGATTACGATGTTTGATTTTCTATAAACGACCGCAGTTCCCCATATAAAGACTACCTATTGCCAACGTCTACGCTAACTTTTTACACCCTGTTAGAAATAAACTGTCCTTATTGTCTGATAGACGAGTAGAAATTGCAAACCATTTCTGCATCAGTATTTGATCGCAGAAATAACTTCTGTAGATCTTAACCTTTCAAAGAATCACTGACATCTGTGTGACATTATTGCGTCATGTACTAGTACTCCCAATATACAAACGATATCTTAATCTTTAAGTCCGCCAAAATGGATAAGAAATGGCTAGACAAAATAACTGAAGACGGAATGGTTAGGTGCTATTCAGAAAGCGATGTCTTAAACCGTACGTTAGTCGGCCACGGTGGGTTCGGAATTGTGTACAAGGCAAAGTTGAAACGTACCGGTATAACTGTTGCAATGAAGATGTTATCACTGAGCGCATACACGGACGAGCAAGAACTGTACAAGAAGTTTGTCAAAGAGGTTTGTGGTATTACTGTTGTTGCTCGCTACGCTAAACTCGTCTCCGGAAAATATATTGATTTTGCGTATGTTAGTTAAAAACTCATAAGAAAGTAGATGACCATCCAAACATTATACGATTCTTAGGTTTATGTAAAGGTCGGTTATATTGGATTTTGTCTTGTACGTTTCAAGAATCATGACTTATTTTATCTTAAAACAGATGCAGACCAACACTATCACATGGTTTTTGAATTTGCGGAGGATGGAAGTTTGTGCACATACTTAGTAAGTCATTCCAATGACTTAACATGGAAAGAGAAATACAACTTGGGTCTGGATATTGCAAATGGTTTGAGATACTTGCATGAGCTTGATATTATTCACAAGGATTTGGTATGTTACTATCTATTTATCTATGGATTAATATGGAATTTATAGTAATATTAATAGTATTCCATATTCTCCTTGCATATAGTCTTCTGCAAATGTTCTTATTCAAGGAGGCATTGCCAAAATAACTGACTTTGGTTTGTCAGGCATGCTAAAACAAACAAATTCTACATCAAGAAGTGAAGGTAGCACAGCATATATTGATCCTGTTACTTTTGAAAATGAGTCTTATAAACGAGGAAAAAAGTCAGACATTTTTAGTCTTGGAGTAGTATTATGGGAAATTTCAAGTGGAAAACGGCCATGTGAAGGACGTATTCAAAATCATGAGATTATTCTATATAGATTTAGAGGTTTGAGAGACCCTCCTTCTGCAGAAACACCAGAAAAGTATATTAAACTATACTCAAAATGCTGGGATGGTGATCCAAACAAAAGACCATCAATTGAAGAAGTATATAAACAATTAAAATGTTTGTATGATGAACAATTCAGTCAAATGCTGAACTTGTGTGAGTGCAATATTGGAGACACAGAAATAATTGCTTTAGCAAAGGCTTTAGAATCAACCTCCCTAACCCAACTAAACAAAACATTAAAAGAGATTGGATATGCACATTTAGCAAATGCTCTGGAGCAAAACTCTTCTCTGACTCATTTGGAATTGCAAAAAAATAATATTGGAGACACAGGAGTAGCAGCTTTGGCAAAGGCTCTAGAATCAAATTCTTCTCTGGTTTCTTTGGATTTGAGTGACAATCAAATTGGAGACACAGGAGCAGCAGCTTTAGCAAAGGCTCTAGAATCAAATTTTTCTCTGACTTCTTTGAATTTGGGTATCAATAATATTGGAGGCACAGGTGTAGCAGCTTTGGCAAAGGCTCTAGAATCAAATTCTTCTCTGACTTCTTTGGATTTGAGTATCAATATGATTGAAAGCACAGGAGCAGCAGCTTTGGCAAAGGCTCTAGAATCAAATTCTTCTCTGACTTCTTTGGTTTTGCAGTTTCTGACTCATTTGGAGTTTCACAAGAATGATATTGGAGAGACAGTAGCAACAGCTTTGGCAAAGGCTTTAGAATCAAATTCTTCTCTGACTTCCTTGAATTTGGATTTGAATGTAATTGGAGACACAGGAGCAGCAGCTTTGGCAAAGGCTCTAGAATCAAATTCTTCTCTGACTTCTTTGCATTTGAGAGAGAATAATATTGGAGTCACAGGAGCAGCAGCTTTGGCAAAGGCTTTAGAATCAAATTCTTCTCTGACTTTTTTGACTTTGGGTGTCAATAGAATTGGAGACACAGGAGCAGCAGCTTTGGCAAAGGCTCTAGAATTAAATTCTTCCCTAACTTCTTTGAATTTACATAGTAATGAAATAGGAGATACAGGAACAGCAGCTTTGGCAAAGGCTCTAGAATCAAATTCTTCTCTGATTTCTTTGTATTTGAGTGGGCATGATATTGGAAACACAGGAGCAGCAGCTTTGGCAAAGGCTCTAGAATCAAATTCTTTTCTGACCTTTTTGGATTTGGGATATAATCAAATTGGAGACACAGGAGCAGCAGCTTTGGCAAAGACTCTAGGATTGAATTCTTCTCTGACTTTCTTGGATTTGAGATATAATCAAATTGGAGACACAGGAGCAGCAGCTTTGGCAAAGGCTCTAGAATCAAATTCTTCTCTGACTTCTTTGGATTTGAGATATAATCAAATTGGAGACATAGGAGCAGCAGCACAGGCAAAAAACTCTAGAATCAAACTTATATAAAATAAGCTCAACAATGTTTTTCATATTTCATTCAAAAGTTGGCTAGATATACCAACAATCAAAGGAAAATCTGGGTTTATTGGCATAAGGACATATAATCAGGATTTTAACTGACAGTTGTACAATCCTGAAAGGACATACAGTCCATAATATTTCCTTTTTTATGACATTTGTATGAGCTGTTGGATTGTGACACTATTTTATAAAACTATAGGATCTAGCAATTATATGCCATTCTTTAAATTTATTATACTTATACTTTCATTTTTCAAAGAAGCTGGATTTATTATTTTTTTCATAAATCATGTATGTGTTGCTAGCTTAAATTGCTTATAAATATTTATATATAATAAACTGATGAATTACTCATATACATATTACAATGTCAATGTTCAACCCAGTTGCCAAATAAACTGACATCTGGATCCAATGACACTTTTTCAATGCCTGAGAGTGTCATTATAACCAGAGGTATTTGTATCTATTACCCTTGTATTTTAGTTTGGTAGTCTCATACTTTTATCATATGATATTATAGCAGTTTCAAAATTATAGAAACTCCTGAAATTTTACACACACAAAGTCACTTGACTGCGAAAATTTTCGAAAACTCAACAATGTCTCTATAAACTTCTGCGATTATTCGCCGGCACTCAACACTTAACAGCTTACTCTTTTGGTACGTACGATCAGTCCTAGTGCTAGCTTTTATAGAGAAGAGGTTTCAATTACTGGCGATTACTGGACGATTACTGGCGATTACTTGCGATTACTTGCGATTACAGGTGAATGCTAACGAAAGTTGTTGTCATTTAGCTGCCGTATAGGACATGGTCAAGGATATTAGTGAAGATTTACGTTGAAGGATAGTTTGTCTCCATTCCGATGGCTTTTCTCGTAAACGGATTTGCCGTTAATAAAAAGGTTTGTCTGTTACATAAGAAATAGAAAATCTCACTAAAACTTTCTTGTAGTTATATAAAGCCGCTATGGAAAGGAATGGATTGCTTCGTAGTTCCTTTATCACTAAAATTGGAGAATCATATTCATCCGAGCAACTCATATTCCTTGATGAGAGCGCGAAGGATGTTATCGTTTGCAAGCCGTGCATATTTGCTGTGGCACTTGAAACAAAAGGAAGATTAGGCTTCTCACGAAAGTTAGAATCATACCCAAATATCTTACTTTTCTCCTGCAAGAACTGCATTTGGGTATGTTTCTGATTCGGGGAGATAATAATAATGCGACATAATTCGTAACTTTCTCTCTTTTACAATTACAACTCTCAAATTTATTATCTGTCTCACATGATAAACAAGCATAACATAGAGCTGTACATATGTACTATATTTCCTTGGTTCGATCTGTGTGAAGTATCTGCAGAACATGATAGATACTATTTTTTATTATACGATAATCTATGCATTCTGATTAGTGTTTTCGAAAATTTTCGTTTGTGTATGTATGAAAATCAGGGGTTTCTATAATTTTGAAAAGAGCAATAATCAATGACTAAATGAATATTCTTGAAAACATAATTTCAGAGAGGTGGTAACGAGTGGTGAATAATTTATACTCGACACAGAATCATTTACTCAGTCACTGATTTAGTTTTGGTAATTGTGATTTTGTGCATAACATCAGTATGTATATACCCCTGGCGAAATTACAATTCGTCTCTCTCAGACAGTAGAATGAGCAGATAAGTCTGTGTTCAAGTCACTTGATAAATAGACGTGTTTCTCCATGGAGTAAGACATTTCATGTTCCGACTGTATATCGTGCCGTATGTGTATCCAACTATAAACATATTTTCGCTCATCATTCACTTACCCAAACTATATTCCCAATTAGAAATCTGAAGTGGGTTTTTGAAACCATTAGTTTAAACACGCAGGTCGAATAAGTTACTAATTGTATGCCGCAAAAAATGGGTTTAAATTAATAACATATATTTATGACCAAAATTTATGAGTAGTTACTGCAATTTTTGGTTTGCAAGGACTTTCATTCGAGTCGACAGAAAATTTTGTTCTCCTTTGAAACGAGTAATAATATCAGCATAGCATGACCTTCATAAAAGATTTAATGATTTCGACAATTCACGTTGACGATGAATACGAGAGTGTTTTGATCGCATTCCGCGATAGTGAAATTCGGATAATAAAATCAATTTGTAACTTTTTTTTTTGCGTCCGCTTTTTCAAACTATTACATTTTGAACTTCGAAGTTTGAATTTAATTAAATTAACTAGGCGGGCCTACTTTAAGTCCGAAAGGCAATAATATTTCTAGTGTAACAAAAGACTTGGATTGACACTTTGTTACAAATTCGTGCTGTGATTTCTGTCTGTCATCAAAGACATTAAGCATACTAATCATCAGATAACGTGTGCATTGTATGGGCCATATAAGATAGACAAGGTTTTCTAATGACAAAAAAGCGCGTCTTGCCTGTTTAATCCATGTTCGGCATCAAAACTGGAAAAGAAGAGTACAAGGCCTTTCGCATAGTCCCCCGAACCTTGTTTAACATAATTTAATCCGTTTTTTAATTCGCCAACTTTTTTTTTCGATAGTGCACCTCTAATAGAATAACAACAATTGTTCTATTAAAGAATAAACTATTTAATATAAACAGTGGCTAACTTCGATTTGTGTTTCGACTAGTCGGGTATCCGTCACTTGTCTTTACTAACTGATTAATAATCGTCTTGATAATAAATTATGAACTCTCGTTCCGTTATTTTTTAGTTTGAACTGAATCAATACTACTTTTCCGTTACTGCTAAGTGAGCCGTTTTTTGGAGTGTCCGGTCTAATAATCAATTATTTCGACGATGAAAGAATAAATTATGTATATTGATAAATAAGGATTTCGGAATACCACTAAGATTAGTAGTATTTATGGTTTATTTTATAACAATATGAACAACATAGACAACATTGACAACATGAAAATTCGACGATGGAAGAAGAGCTACTTATATATCTTTGAGCGTCGCAGAAAAAGTAAAACGCTCTTTTGACTGTTTCCAGAAGAACAATTAAATATTGTAGCGTTTGTACTATCTTGGATTTTTTTGTTTCACTAATGCAGCATGGCGCTGTCGCGGATTTTTCGAAACGCCATTATCTATTATTACCAATTTAAATCTTTTGTGAAACTGAAATTAGTGTTTGTTTGACTTCGAAGATTTTATCATATGACTCACTTATCAGATAAGCTCGCCGTGACAATATAAAGCAAAAATCTAAATAATTATTTTCTTTTTATCAGGAGTATTATAGTTAAAGAGAGTCATCCTTTGCTATTTTCAGAATTCTATATTCTAATCTCATAGAATTTACTTATTTTCTTGAATAATAAAAGTTGAAATTTCTCCTTGGTAATTCTTTGGTTGCTAAATAATCTCTTCTGCTTATTTTTTAACAAACTATTTTCCAATCACTTTATTCAATTTATAAGCTTGCCCATTGCAGCATTGTGCTTTAACATTTGATGCCGTGCTTTCCTCACCTCATAGCTGCATCCAGTGCTTTTTCAGCTTCTTCTCGCTCCATTTCCACTTCATCCGATTATACGAACGAAATCGTCTGTCGTTAATTTGTCTTTCATTATTTTTTCCCGTGTTGGTTAGTAGTTCCTTAATTGTTCTTTGATTATAGGGGCAACCATATTTTCTGGGAGGCACATCGAAAACCTTTATTTTACTTTTTGTCTGTCGTTTTGTTGGAAACTGTATTTGCTTGTCGGATTTGTTGAATTTAACCTCGTCATACCGATATTTTTGTTCCGCCAAAAATTTATCGGTAAAGCGGAGTATCGTATATCGGTAGATCAGGGGTTTTCAAAATATCGATTTATCGGGGTGTTAAATAAAATTATTGTTTACGCAGATAAACAACAATTGCGAATAAAACTATCAATGGACGTTTGCTTTTTTTTTTTTTTGAAATAGAGCCAACAAATTATTTCTTAAACCCGAAGTTAAAAAGTGTGCTGAACCATATTGTCAACGTCTCTTCAATTTCAGGGTATTGCGGTTTACGTTCTCTTTTTCTTTTTGTATTTTTGATGAAAATTCAATATCATTAGTGGCCTACCACTTGTCTCGTTTATTCCATATAGCTAATACAATGTTTTGCTTGATTCTGTATTGATACGCAACAGCAGTTTGTGTCGGAGCAGGTTTTTTTCTTCTGTGCATAAGTTAATATAACTCTTTGCCCTTCACAAAGGCTCACTTTCCCTAGTTTTGCATTAAATTCAATGTTCACAAAAATCAACCAAGTAGAATGTTTGACTTCCAAATTTAGCAAGTGTTTACACGAATATCGGTAGAGAGAGGTAAGATTTAATAGTAAAGGCCATTACATGTATCGGTATAACGGGTAAAAATTCCTATGAGCGAACGTTTCTATCGTTATCGATACAACGAGGTTTGACTGTATGTTACAGTGGCTACGGGAAAGTTCGGTATGTGAATTATCTCCATGGCGAGAGTTTGAAAAGCGTTGGCACTATGTTCTTTGTAGACCGCTTCCATACGCCAGCTGACGTGATTCTTGTTACGGATTCTTGTAACTATTGTCTTCGTACAACAAATAAAAAGTCCAGCACGTAAATTTTTTTAAAAAAAAAAAAAAAAGAAAATGTACCCATTTATGATCGGCGCAAAATTTATAACCATAATATGACACATCGTTAGGCAAAACCATTGATCCAGGAATCATACCCCAAAAATCAAAATTTCATGCAACCTCATTGGTATTCCGCAATATTATTGGTCTAAACATTTTGACTCACCCCCTTTGTATATTATTAGTATGCCCAGTGAATTGAACAATCGCTTTTGTTCTTTTGCGTAGCGTTGATTGATCAACCGAGTCTACCTGTGGTAGGAGATGAATTATCATAACCTTATTTATCCCGATGCGGCACACGTTTCCAACTTTGCGCGTGGGAATTCTTACCCCTTGTGTTATTTCATAACGTTACAGGGTCTTATTCTGATAGACTTTTTTTATATGAGAGGCCCCTTATTTATAGTAAGTTTAATTTACTTGACTATTGTCGAGTTAATTACTACGGGAGAACGACTGGAGAAATATTTGTGTAGACCATCTGTATTTTGCCAACACGGAAATCGATAGACAAAAGATCGATTTCCCTTCATTTGCATTTTGCACGTCGTTACCAAGGCAATGACCAAGGAATACGAATTATTTACTTATTCCACTAAATATAATTTATTGAGCATCGAAGAACTACTCTAATAATACAGTTGAAGATGATGTAAACTAGTGAAAACTACAACTCCTTACATACATTTCTATCGTTTCGCTAGATAGCTACTAGTATTCGATTTTAAGACTAATTACTTAAATGTCAAAACATACAATAATTTCCACCTAGTACAAACGGCAATTTTTATATTTATTGGCATTTCTTACACTAATATTTCTCGCTACATACACCCGCTCGGAATTCTTGTATTACTGCACGTTGGTGATGGCACAGGAGAATATGTTATCAATTAATCCTGACACTATACCATATAACATTCTAACCAGAGGCTACTATATTATACAAGTTTAATATCACTTTATGTAATTTAAGAAGTTGTCAAAATCGGATAAAAGTCACGCTTTTGTATATTCATAAATAATTAGATCTTAAGATCTATATCTAGACAAATTAAAGAATTTTCTTGCACTTCCAAAGCCTTTGCCAAAGCTGTTTTTCCTATATTTCCAATCTGGCTATATCTAAGATTCAAGTAAATCAGAGAAGTGTTTGATTTTAAAGCCTCAGCCAGTGCTATTGCTCCTGTTCCTCCAATATGATTGCAACTAAGGTCCAAAGTAGTAAGAGATGAATTTGATTCTAGTGCTTTTGATAGTGCTGCTGCTCCTGTTTCTCCAAATTGATTACAGTTTAGATTTAAAGTAGTTAAAGAAACATTTGATTTTAGAGCCTTGGACAATGCTGTTGCTCCTTCATCTCCAATTTTGTTGTATCTGAAATCTAAATCAGTCAAAGAGGAATTTGATTCTAGTGCTTGTGCTAAAGCTGTTGCTCCTGCATCACCAATCTTATTTTCACTGAGGTTTAGAGATGTCAGAGAGACATTTGATTTCAAAGCACTTGCCAAAGTTGTTGCTCCCATATCTCCAATCTCACCTCCACTAAGATTTAGGGATGTTAGAGAGGCATTTGATTCTAGTACTTTTGCTAAAGCTGTTGCTCCTGTGTCTCCAATTGTATTTTCACTAAGATTTAGAGATGTCAGAGAGGTATTCGATTTCAAAGCTCTTGCCAAAGCTGTTGCTCCTTCATCTTCAATATTGTTTCTAGAAATATCCAAAGAAATTAGACAAGATCCTGATCTAAATCCTAGAGCTTCTGATAATACTGCAATTCCTGCATCTCCAATATCATTAGATTTAAGATCTAAAAAATTTAGAGAGGAATTCAAGTCCATAGCTCTCCCCAAAGCTACTGCTCCCAAGTCTCCAATATAATTCATAGAAAGATCCAATGAAATCAAAGTATGATTTGACTCTAAAGCCTTCGACAATGCTATTGCCCCTGTCTCTCCAATCATATTACCACTAATGCTTAAAACAGTTAAAGAAATGTTTGATTTTAAAACTTTTGCCAATGCTTCTATGCCTATATCTCCAATACTATTCATAGAAAGATTCAAAGAGGTCAAAGAATTTGATTCCAGAACCTCTGCCAAGAATGTTGCTCCTGTACTTCCAATATTATTATGTGTAAGATTTAAAGCAGTCAAAGAACATTTTGATTTTAGAACCTTGGATAAGGCTGTTGCTCCTGTACTAGTACTCCCAATTTGATTATAAATAAGATTTGAAGAATTCAGAGAAGTGAAAGAAGAGCTTGATTTCATATTCAGAACTGTTGTCAAAGAAATTGTGCCTGCATCTCCCATTTGATTAATACTAGGAACCCTACTTAAAGAAGTCAGAGAAGAAATAGCAGCTTTTGCCCGAGATGCTGCCTTTGTATTGCCAGTTTCTTTATATTTATTATTTAAAGAAATTGAAGAAGAGTTTGATCTTAGAGCCTTTGCCAACATTGCTATTCCATTATCACCAATATTGTGGTCACTTAAATCCAATATTCTTCCTATTTGATCATCAAGAAAAGACTGTAATTCTTTATGTATTTCTTCACATAATGGTCTCTTGTTAGGATTTTCATGCCAGCATTGGGAATATAACTCAATGTACTTTTCTGGTGTTCCTGGAAAAGAAGGGTCTCTCAAGCCTTTCAATCTATAAAGGACTATATCATAACTGTGAATACGTCCTTCACATGGGCTTTTTCCACTAGATATTTCCCATAATACCACTCCAAGACTAAAGATGTCTGACCTTTTTCCACGTCTACATGATTTATTATTAAAAATGATTGGATCAATGTATGCATCACTGCCTTCATGACTTGATATCGCTTTAGGTCGTTGTTTCAGTATGGTGGATAGACCAAAGTCGGCTATTTTTGCAGTGCCTTGTTGAATAAGAATGTTGGCAGAAGACTGTACAAATAAAATCAGAATGACATAGTAATAGGATAAATGAAAATCATTATAGTATACTTATATGTGCATATCTATATGCACAATTGATAAACAAATTGCTAACTCATACCAAATCCTTATGTACAATCTTAAGCGCATGTAAGTACTTCAACCCGTTGGTAATGTCCAAACCCAACTTGTACTTGTTTTCCCATGTTAAGTCATTAAAACAATGCCCTAAGTATTCACGCAAGCATCCACCCTCTGCATATTCAAAGACCATATGATAGTTTTGGGATGCATCTAAATATTAGGTAAATAAGTCATGAGTCTCGATACATACTATCAAATTCAATGTATTTACTATATTGTACCTATGTATAAACCAAAACAGCGGATAACATTTGGATGGTCATCTACCATCTTATGAGTTTTTAACTGGAATACATAAATTCTGTTTATTCTCTGATACGAATTTACAATGTGACAACAATGATAATAATAAACGCAAACCTCTTTGACAAACTTCTTGTACAGTTCTTGCTCGTCCGTATATGCGCTCAGTGATAACATCTTCATTGCAACAGCTATTCCGGTATGCTTCAACCATGCCTTTTGTACCAAGCCAAATCCACCATTTCCGACAATCGTACAGTTTTTAATTTCACTTCCCGAATAGCGCTTGAGCATTCCGTCTTCAATTATTTTGTCCAACCAATTTTTATGTGTGCTAGTGGACGCTTGAGACATGTTGAACAAGCAATGCTGTTGGCAAGCTAGTAAAGACTTTGAGTCGTCTTTCCAATCCGGAGCTAGTCTAAAACAAAAACTGACTGAAAACAACAAGTCGGTTCAGAGACTCACTCTCTATCGAGTCAACCGTTACACTGCAGGAGAGTTTGTATGACATTGACTTATACGTTGTACATTGTGTATGTGAACGCAAAATCTCCAACAAGAAGTGATGTCTTCTTCGTTCGTGAACTATTTGCCAACCGTCCAAAACTGAATCACCTTGGCGAATAAGGAGCTATTGAAAACTTCACACCCCTGGTTTGTTAACATATACTATGCCATAATAATAAGCGCTGTTAGGATGTTTAACAATTGTGCGGACCGATGATTCTTTAATGTCAGTTACATAAACTGCATACCTATCAACGTCTGTGCATTCATTTTGCCCGGTATCTGGTTAACGTTTTTGCTAACCTTTTCAGGTTACGGCCAAGGGGGTATCAAAAGACTTGTGTTTAAGCTTCTCTTATTATTATGGTAAATTTATGTACAAGATTCTTTCGTAACTATGGCGCAGGCAGCAATTCATTTACTAATGCTGCACATTTGATTTTGCAATCCCCTTGTATTGAATATCAACCTCCGCATCTCAAATTAGACTTCCTGGATACGATGCATATGGATGACTAACATATAACGGATCCGGATAAAGGAAAATCTTATCTTTGTGTTGATCGAGCAAACCACCTTATGTGTGAAACTTCTTAAGCCGAACGAAAAGCGTACTATATTCATCTTATCGTTAATACGTGAGTATCTTGATCATATAAATACAGGAAACAACGGAGTGTGATTTTTAACTTTGTGCTTTTACTCCTATGCAGATATCTATTTTGAACACTGCGATCAACGTTCTTTTACTATTATAAACTACGACCATGAACAGAGGGGGAAAGTAGTGCACTTTTGCCATTCTCCATCATATTAATACGAGAAACCTGTCCAATGCTACAGCGAGTGAATGATATTCGGATCATGATGATTAGAACGCAAGATTTCTGTCTATTATAAGGTATCCACTCAATGCAATAGTATTCGCTTGCTTTCGAATCGACTTGTCATAGAATTCAACCGCGTATCTAATCCGTGCACCTTCTCGCTTATTAGGACAAGATGAACCTAGGCTCATAAATAACAATTCATTTCATGTATCAATTTTTATCATGTATCGATTTATTTTATATATAATTAATTCAATCGTATTGGCCTCATGTTTGTTAACGAAGCACCACAACTGACAATTTATTTTATCATAAACGCAAACGTCTTTCTGGTACATTAAGGGTTAAACGGATGATACTTAACCTAGCGGTTACGCAGTAAAATTGTTGACGTTTAGATACTATCTGCCCCCCCCCCCCCCTTCTTTCTCTT